GTAGGTTTATAGACATGTTTTTATGTTTGTATGTACGTATGTTTGTATGTATGAATGTTTGTATGTATGCACATGTTTGTTTGTTTTTTGCATGTTAGCATGTATGTATATGTGAACATACATACATACAAACAGACATACAAACAAACATACAAACGAACGACATACTTGTACAGTGTGTACACAAAATTGGAAGTGCGAAAATATTGTTTCAGCTCGGTCCAGTGATTTGCATCAATACAAAAATGTGTGTACACACATACATACACACACACACATTTGCACACATACATACTCTTATAAACACACGCATATATACACATATACATACACACATTCGCACACATATAAACACACGCATACATATACATACACACTAACATACATACATACATTTATTCTTCTATTCATTCCATCATCTGATGTGATTGAAACAGAAAACTTGAATAAAAACTAACTCTGAATACAGTTCAACCAATTAAATGAATGGATCATTACTACTACTACTACTACTACTACTACTACTACTACTACTAATACTACTATTACTACTACTACTACTACTACTACTACTACCACCACTACTACTACCACTACTACTGCTACCACTACTACTACTACTACTGCTAATTATATTATTTATTATAATTATAGTAAAAATATATTATGGTAGTAGCAGCAGCAGTAATAGTATTAATATTAGTCGTCATCATTATCAACATCAATAGAAACATCATCATCATCTTCTTCTTCATCATCATCATTGTCGCCATCGTCATCTAGTCGCATATACTAATACAGTTTTCTTGGTTTTTTTTTGGTTGTAGCAATACCTTAATGAAAATCGTGCATTAGAATGCTATGTATGTATTTGTGTGTTTGTGTATTTGTGTGTTTGTGTCTATCTGTTTGTTTGTGTTGATCGTGTTTGTGTTTATTTATTCAGCTGTTCATTCAATCGTTTGTTCGTTCACTCATTTTGTTCGTTCATTCGTTCGTTCGTTTGTTCCTTCATTCATTCATTCATCCAAATATCAATCTATCCATCCATTAACAGCCTTATCTTCATCATCATCCTCATCATCATCTTCATCATCATCATTGGTATCATCATCACCATGGCTCCACTGCTCGTACAAACATGAAATGGTACAACTAATCTCCAACTTAGTTGTAACGGAACTTAACCATTCATCATCTTCATCATCCTCCGTGTGTGTGTTAGTGTGTGTGTTTGTGTGTGTATGTGTGTGTGTGTAAGTGTGTGTTTGTGAGTGTCTGTGTTTATGTGTTTTTTTACATACAACGAATGCACGTACATAAGTACAAAACTTTTAATTCTATAGAAGTTAATTTGTCGGATTGTTTTAACGATTCATAAACTATAAAAGTGTGAGTAGAAATTTTTTACTGATACAAAAGCAACAATAAAAATGACGTCATCATAGCCGCAATGAGATCACCGTAACAACAACAGCAACAACAACAAAAACAACATTGTCATAAAAACAACAACATCCTCACAACAAAAATTCCAGCCCCACAATAGCAATATAGCAGTGACATCACAACAACAACAACAACAAAGTCAGCGACATCTTTCAAAAGCAAACAACACATCAATATTAGCATTCAACAAAACGTTTCGCGCAAAGAAAACTGTGCGTCAACAAGTTAATCAACAGGAATTTTGTTTTTGAAACAACAAAAACAACAATAATAATAATAACAACAGCCACAATAACAACAACAGCAACAACAACAACAACACCAATAGTGACAAAGTGTTTACGTCATGAAGACATGTGACTCCCCTAACAAACAATCTCTGCTCTCCAGTTACGTAATGAAAGGGTAATCATATAATTGATACCACAACAATTTTAATTTTGTTGTTGCTGATGTTGTTGTGGTTGTTGATGATGTTGTTGTTGTTGATGTTGTTGTTGTTGTTATAGAAACATTAAATTGGAGTGCCTATTCTATTATTGATGTCCATTTAACTCGTTCAATTGCTCTTCAATTCCAGTGATGTGATGTTGTGTGTGTGTTTGTGTATGTGTACGTGTTTGTGTGAGTGTGTGTGAAACATTGTAAGTGTACATGGGTGTGTATGTATTTTGGTGTGTCTAGATGTATGTGTGTGAGTTTAAGTGAAAGTGATTTGAATATTTGTTTGGGTGTGTATATGGGTATGTGTACATGAGTATGTACAATTGTACATGTAAGTGTGTTTGTGTCTGCGTGAGTGTGTATTTGTGTGTGTGTGCGTGTATGTGTGTGTGTATTTGTTAGCGTTAATGTTGTTTTAAATTCTTAACTATAAAATAAGCGAAAATTCTAATAAAATTCTGAAAAACATTTTCAAAATTAATTAATTTTATTTTCGTTTAATTAATTTTAATTAATTTCTTATAAAAATAACAAATTTTAACCTTTTAAAAGTCATTCTCTTGCGTTATGTAAAACTGCATACAATGGCAACAATAACAACAATGGCAACAATAATAGCATTAACAACAATAAAAATACTCCAATTATTACACAACAAACTTTAATTACTTTACTTCTACTTCTACCACTTCTACAACCACTACTACCACTACTAGTACTACTAATACTACCACTACTACTACTACTACCACTACTACTACTACTACTACTACTGCCTACTACTACAACTACTACTTCTACTACTACCGCTACTACTACTACTACAACCAACTATTACTATTTTTATTACGACTATATTTCAAAAATTCTGTTGTTGCTAATGTTACAGCAACAAGTACATTACATTAACTTTTTGTCATATATACACAAATACAAATATATATGACATCAACAAAAACATCAACAACTTCAGCAACTACCACCACAAACTCCAGCAACTAATGAGATCACCAGACGAACGACATCACGCTCGATTGGCTGACGGCTTTGCACTCAGACGAATCACGAACAACTCATCAAAAATGTCATCCAATAGGAACGCTGCTGGCGGAGTTTAAATATGCTAATCAGGCTAAATTCAACACGGCCGGCCAGTGAAATGTAAATTTTTGTAGCGCTAGTATAAATGCAAGAAATCCGTGGATTTAAAGGATAAACTCTAACAATCCCAAAGATTTCAAATTCAATCCTGGATTATTATTATTATTCCCATTATTAAAGCGTACGGATATGCGTCTAGAGCTGTTTTTTTCTTTTTATATTTTATTATTATTGTATTTTCTAGTTATTGTTGGCGTTAGTTTTGTTCCTATGTACCAACATTAATATTATTGTTATTGATGTGATTATTACTATTATTGTTATTTTTGAGTCACTGTCACCAAAATAAATAAACTTATTTTTGTAAAACGTCATAAAAAAAATTGTTATCTTTTGTGCTGGGTGTATTAATTACTGAGGTTAGAAGAGTTACACGTTCAATTTCGATTGCATATTTTGTGTGCTAGTGTATGCCTGTATGTGTGTGTACGTATGTAAGTATGTACGTGTGTACGTATGTATATAGGTATGTTTGTATGTATGTATGTATGTATGTATGTATGTATGTATGTATGTATGTATGTATGTATGTATGTATGTATGTATGTATGTATGTATGCATGTATGTATGTTTGTATGTATTTATTTGAGTTTGTATTTATGTATGTATGTATGTATTTATCTATGTATGTATGTATTTATGTATGTATGTATGTATGTATGTATGTATGTATGTATGTATGTATGTATGTATGTATGTATGTATGTATGTATGTATGCATGTGTGAATGTATGTATTAGAAAAATGGGTCATTTATTTCATTAAAATAATTTATGAAAATTTAGTTTTTTTTAACATAACGAAAACCAACTTCATCACAGATTTTTTTAAACACTTGAATGAATACATTGTATAAATTGGAAATTTCAGAAACAATCGAACCCCCTTGAGTTTAATTTTAGCATCAACGACATCAACATAAGCTACGGGTTAACGTGATCTATAACAACAATCTTATCAACAACAACAACAACCATAAGAACAACAACAACAATAACATCAACAGTAACAACAACAACAAGGACTACTACCACTACTACTACTACTACTACTACTATTACTACTACTACTACAACTACTACTACTACTACTACTACTACTACTACTACTACTACCACTATACTACTACTACTACTATTACCTATTATTACTACTACTACGTACTACTACTGCTACAACAAAAACAAAAATAACATCAATAAAAATATCATCAGTAACCGTGTGACATCAACGACTACGGCCATTCAACAGTAAAAAGAGTAGCAGCAGTAGCGACAGCAGCGACAACAACTACAACATCAACAACAACAAAATGGACTCTTTTCACGATCCGTCAAGCTTATACTTGGACCCACACTTTGCAGTCGCAGTGCAACACTACCACCACCAGCAGCAACAACATCAGCAACATCAACTGCAACAACATCAACAACATCAACTAAATCAACAGCACAATCTAGGTTAATACATCATTTTTTTAAACTAAATTAATTTAAATTATAAAATAATGAATAAATAGTAATGAAAAATAATGCTAAATTCATAACATTATTGTCATGGGTTCATATTAGTATCATGAGGTTATTAGGATTGTCAACATCAACATAATCATCATCATCTCATTATTATCATCATCTCCATCACCATCATTCTCTCCCAAGCAATGCCACAGATATGCAGCTTATTTAGCAGCAGCCACAGTAGTAGCCACAGCAGCAGCAACAGCAACTTGCACACGTCATCAACTCCACTCAGTTTCATCAAAAAAGAATCAAAAGACAACAACAACAACAACAACCTTCTCCTATTAAACAATAACAACAATAACAGCAGCAGCAGCAACAGCAGCCACAAAGATCGCAGCGCCAAACCCAACAACAACAGCAACAACAACAACAGCAATTCACCAGACAATAACATTTTTAGCAGCACGAACAACAATCTACACAATCTCAACAACAATTCGACACTTTCATTTCTTGGAGGCCTAACACCCCCGCACTACCACGCGTCCACCAACAACTCCCTCGTCTCAGATTTCCACTCCCTCATACCCCCTCCTCCACCCCCGTCATCAATCCTACGAAGCCTCAACAACCAGCACAGCGGAACAGGAAACGGAAGTCACGTGGTCGGAGGCCATTTTGGTTTTCAAGATGGCGGTTTTCAGTCATCGCTTCCTGTCGCGACGACGATTTCATCCAGCACGTCCGCGTCGTCGTTGTCGTTGTTGGGTAGTAGCAGCGGTGGGGGTGGGGGTGGGGGCGGGGGTGGGACGGAGAGGTTGAAGAAACAAAAACGACATCTGCAAAGTTTAGGTGTGTACCGTGTGTGTTTGTATGTTTGAGAGAGAGAGAGAGAGAAAGAGAGAGAGAGAGAGAGAGATAGAGAGAGAGAGAGAGGGAGAGAGGGAGAGGGAGAGAGAGAAGATATGAAATGTGAAATTTATTTTAGATTAAGCAATTTTTTCATTAAAACAGTTAAAATATAAAAAAAAATCAAAATATTGGAAGTGCAAAATTTTTTAGGAGCTATACAAAGGTTACCTTTTTTTTTAAATTTGTAAACATCCCTTTAGATTCTACTTCAGATTCAGTAACGAAACTGCAGAGCAACAGCAACAACAACAACAACTCGCAGCAAATGACGTCATCATCGTCAACAACATCGTCAACAAAACATAGACATAATAATAACTCGACCGGAACAGGAATCGCCACTACAACTACTACAACCTCGTCGTCAACAACAACAAATAACAATAATAATAATTTTGACAATGAAGACGCTAGTTCTAGTGGCGAAGGTAGTAGCATTAGTTATTATTATTAGTATTATTGTTGTTGTTGTTGTTGTTACTGTTGTCGTTGTTGTTAATGTTGTTGTTGTTACTGTTGTTGTTGTCGCTGTTATTGTTTATGTCATAATATTTACAATTATTTATAAAGATTATTTTCTCAATTTATTAAAAATTAATGCCGAAAACACAGTGATCTTTAAAAATAATTGTACTTAACCCAAAATAATAATATATGTATATATTATATTATTATATTACTTCTGGTAAATATTAAATTATATGTTTTATTATTATTTTATATTATATTATATATATTGTTGATATCATATAATTCACATCATTGTCGATTACTTAGTAACATTTCTTCTCAGCTAAACCCAACAGCGAACCATTCCTCTCTTTCTCTCTCTCTCTTTCTCTCTCTTTCTCTCTCTCTCTCTCTCTCTCTATCTTAACCAGACTAAACAATTTTCAAATTCCTCTTTGGCATTGTATATAATTGTTTCATAGTCATCTGTAATATTACAAATAGAATAATAATTATAATTAATTATTAACTATAATTATTATTTTTTTTTTTTGAGGCAATGGAGACAAGAAGTCGAAACGGCAACGACGACAGCGGACGCATTTTACGAGTCAGCAGCTTCAAGAACTGGAAGCCACATTCCAGAGAAACAGGTTATTATTATTATTATTATTATTATTATTATTTTAGATAGACGAGCATTTTAGATTAAATAGGATTTTATAATTATTTCATTATTAATATTTGGTATTTGGAGTTAGAAAATAAAAGGATTATTACTATTATTATTATTATTACTATTATTATTTCATTACATAATTATTATTATTATTATTATTACTACAGTTATTTATAATTACGAATTTTTATTATTTCATTGTTAATAACTGATATACACCCATGACAACAACAATCGAACCTACACCATTAAAAAAAAAACGAACACAGACACATCAGCCAAAATTTACTCTAGCATGGCTTTGGATGAAATTGAACGAAATAACTATAAGGGAAAAAACTCTGATTTGGGCACCGATTCATTAAAACCTGCCTGAAAAAGAGCTTCAAATTTTCTATTTATAAAATTCAAGTCCGCCTCGTAAAATTTTTTTGGCCACTTCTTGGCACTTGCCCTCAGCGAACAACGACAAAATCATCATCGTCGTCGTCATCATCATAATCATCATCATCGTCGTCATCATCATCATCATCGTCATCATCATTGTCTTCATTATCGTCATCATCATCGTCATCATCATCATCATTATCATCGTCATCGTCATCATCATCATCATCATAACCATGATCCCAGATATCCAGATATGGCAACGAGGGAAGAGATTGCCGCCTGGACGAGTCTTACGGAGGCTAGAGTCCGGGTGAGGTGATGATGATGATGATGATGATGATTTTATTATTATTACTATTTTTATTATTATTTATAATTATAGTTATTATTGTTATTGTTGTTGCTATTATTATTATCGTTGTTGTTGTTGTTGTTGTTGTTGTTGTTGTTGTTGTTGTTATTGTTGTTGTTGTTGTTGTTGTTGTTGTTGTTGTTGTTGTCGTGTCCAAATTTGAATGACAATGACCACACTCAGTTATGTCACATAACTCTTGTTTACAAACAACTCTTGGGGACGACGGATGGATGGACAGATGGACATATGGATGAATGAATGAATGAATGAGTGAGTGAACGATTAAATGAATGAATAAATGAGTGAACGATTAAATGAATAAATAAATGAATGAGTGAATGATTAAATGAATGAATAGATCAGTAAATGAGTGAATGAACGAACGAACGAACGGACAAACAAAAGAATGAACAGACAAACAAACGAATGAACGAACAAACGAATAAACGAGCGAATGAATAAATAGATGAATTAATGAATATGAGCATAAATAAATGAGCAAACGGACGAACGAACGAACGAACGAATGAACGAACGAATGAACGCGATTCTTGCAATTAACCATGGGATAAACCGCTGATGTTTGAGCTTCTGTCCTCCATTCGTACATTTATCCTTCCACCTATCTATTCAGTTTTTTATTCCTTCATTTAATCCGTTTTCCAATCTTTCTATCCATCTATCAGGTATTTTTTTAGTCATCCGTTTGTCCATTAATCAATCATTCAATCATTCAAAACAATTTTGCTTG